CTAGTTCCAAGGTAGCCAATGCTACATAATGCAACCTTCTCCTTAAAAAAGGAAAGGAAGGAAGGAAGGAAGAGAATTTATTTATTTTATTCATTTACTTATTTTATGTGTGTGTTGCTGAGAAAATATGCACACATGCGCACATGGACCCTTGGAGGTCAGAGAGAACATAGAATCTCCTAGAACTGGAGTTACAGATGAATATGAGCCACCATGTGGGCGCTGGGAGTCCAACCTCCCCCCACCCCCTTCTTGAGGTCAATTTGCTGCGACAGAACAGCCAGCAAACAGCCTAAGGAAGGCTTTACCCTGGCTCATGGTTTGAAAGGATGGCCTGGACAGCACAGGGGCAGCTCTGGGCAGCGCAAAACCTCCTCTCTCACTCCAGCCCACTGGACGTACTGTCTTCAGGACTGGGTCTTACCAGGGCGGTTAACTTCTCCGGAATTTTCTCTGGACACACCCTCATGAAGGTGTGTCTCCCAGGTGACTCCAAGTCCTGTTGGCGAGGAACCACCACCGTTCTGATACCCACTAAACTAGAGGCTCCCTGAGGTCACGTCTGCTCCAATCCCATGGTTCAAAGCTCTGTGGTGACCACGTGATCTTGGACTCTTCTGAGTCTCCGAATTCCTTTTTCTTCCACATCTTAGGGACTGGTTTTGCTGTGTGACAGCCAGTGTATTTACACCACATGACTCTTTCCGTTGGAAGAAGGCCCTGTGAGGAGAGTTCAGGAAGCACTCTGCCTGCACATCCGTGCATCACTAAAGCCACGCCTACACTTGGGACATGAGCTTTTAGCTGTTTATCCCTTTTGACGTTTTCATATGAGTGCATAGTGCTCTTCAGTCATCCTCACCCACTGCCTCCCCTCACCCACCCCTCCTCACCCACTGAATCCCCTCCTCACCCCACTACCTCCTCTCATGCCCTCTGCTCTTTCTGAACTCCTTATTCCCCTCTACCTTTATGTCTGTGTGCCTGTGTCTCTCTGAGTGAGTGAATGAGTGTGAGTGTGAGTGTGTGTGTGCGTGTGCGTGTGCGTGTGTGTGTGTGTGTAGTGGTATGCATGTGAGGAAGCCAGAGGACAATTTGTATGTAGGAGTCAGTTCTCTCCTTCCACCCTGGTCAGTCCCTTGAGTGAGCAGCAAGCTCCCTTGCACACTGAGCTCCCTCTCAGAACCTAGCCCAACCGTTTAGTAACACCGATAAGATGCCGCTGCGCATCATCCTGTTTAGAGGCTGGTGATCAGCTGTGCGTCCCCATTCTCCCCACTAGTGAATTCGAAGGCTGCGAGGAAATAACCCAAGCTTTCTTGTTGATAGTTTCAAACTGGAAACAAGCCAGCTGCCCAGAAGCCCGTGGTTGGATGAACCGACTGTGGTATGCCAATGCAGCAGAGAACTGCTCAGCAAGGAAAAGGGGGAATGTTGCTCCCCACCACAGTGACAAAAAACATCAAAAATATTCACGTGGAGCAGGGGAAGCCAGACAGAAAAACAGACACCACACAGATCCATTTATATAAAAAACCTAGAGCCAGGTGGTAGTGGCACACGCCTTTAATCCCAGCACTTGGGAGGCAGAGGCAGGTGAATCTCCAAGTTTGAGTGAGTTCCAGGATAGCCAGAGAAACCATGTCTTAGAAAAACAAAACAAAACAAAAACCTAGAAAACAAAAGGAACCTAGTGACTTCTGGGGCTTAGGGAGTGTGGGAGCTGGATGAGGAGGAGGCTGAGGAGGGGCGTAGGGGAGATTTTGGAAAGAGTCCAGAGTAATGTCTTGAAAGCCAGGTGTGGGTCCTGCTATCCACAGGAGCCTAAGGCAGGAGGACCAGGGTTCAAGGTCATTCCCAGTTACGTAGAGAGCTTGGGGCTAGCCTGGGCTACAGGACACTCTGTCAGGAAGGAAAAGGTTGAGGGAGGGAAGGGAGGGGTTTGTGGGTGACAGGTGTGTTCATGAACTGGTCTGTGGTGACACTTTTGTGAGGACATGTGTGTCACAGGCCACCAGGCTGTGCTCTCAGGCACACTAACTAACCCACAGGTCAGTCACACCTCCGCAAAGCCATGAACATGACCTAGGTCTCCCATGCTATGTCCAGCCTTTGACAATGAGCAGCGGACACGTCCACTGCTGTCCTCCGCTGCCACAAGGCCACACTCTGTGTAAGCATACGTCTCTGGTGGTAGGCGCTTGCCGAAAAGTCATAGTTAGAAAAGGGTTGCCAGCAGTTTCCCGGCAAACCAGAAGCCGGAAGGGCTGATGAATCTTTACAGAGAGGAACAGTGATGAGGCCAGAGGCTGGCCCACCTCACAGCCAGCTTAGGGGAGGAAGGAAGAAGAGAGGGAGGAAGTATCACTCCCATGCTTCCTCTACCCCACTACCAACAGCAGGTTTTGGCCTTTGGACCACTGACATGTTCTGGCCAGTTGTGACCCACTCCTTCAATCCTAGCAATGATGAGACAGGAGTTCGAGGCCGACCTGTGCCACACGGCAAAGCCCTGCCAAAATAAAGCAAATCACACTTATAAATCAAAAAAGATGGCATGTTCTAAAATAAGGCAGTCAGACCTCACTGGGCTGAGGACGCCTTCCGAGCTGCAGACAGACCCGCGTTCAAATGCAGTGTGCCCTCAAGCAAGCTGCTGCCCTCTCTGTGGTGGGGGTCAGATGAGGCTGTGTGGACAATGTCTGCCTTCCCTCCTCCTCACACAGGAGCAAGCCCGTACAAAGCACCAACGTTATGCGTGTGTGCACGAATGCACGTGTGTGCAGCCGCCATGCGAAGTGCCAGGGCAGCTGTGAGGTGGGATGGAGCCTCACGTTCCTCTTCCCTGGAAGAGGAGTTGGGATGGTGCTGCTCTCAGTGGGCTTCATTACCTCCTTCTCTGCAGGGTTGGAGCCAAGGGACCTGCTGCTGCTGGGCAAACACTCGACACTGAGCCACACCTCAGCCCCAACCTCCTTTACACAGCGGCAGATACCCACAGAGGTGATGTGCCCACGGTCTCACGTTGGCTGAGAATAGAGCGGGCGTTGAACCACAAGTTCTGACCTCACCAGGAGAGGGATAAAAACAGGTGCAGAGGCCACGTTTCTGCCTCCTTCTGTTCTCACCTGAATGTGACCAGCCCTCTTCCTGGGGCTGACCAGAGTAAGGTGAGGAAACAGGGCGCCTGCTTCCCGTTGTGGCTTTTCAGCCCCTTTACCATAGGTCACTAGCACAGGCACACAAACGCGCACACTCGCACACAGTGGCAGCAGGCCCAGCCTGGACAGATGGGCAGGACAAGGACACCCTGTTCAGACCTTGGTCCCCTGGGGACACTGAGGTTGTCTCTCTTGACCTTCAAGCTCAGCTCTGTCCCTTGTGGTCCCAGCCCACAACCCCTGCTCTCCCTCTATGGCTTCCTGGGTGTGTCCACAGAACAGTCCTTCTGGGCAGATCTCTGCAGATGTGGGGGAATTAGAAAATTCTAAGCAGGAGTGGAGCTCTGCTGTCCCCTCCCTGAGGCAACCATTCTCTCCTTCCTCCGTCCCTCCACCCATTCACCCACCCACCATCACTCCTCCCTCCCTCCATTAATCCCTCATTTTCTCCCTCTATCTCTCCCTCCCTCCCTTCCTCCCTCCCTCCCTCTCTTCCTCCCTCTACCATCCCTCACTGAACACTCAGGATTGTGTCCGCAGAGCTGTGTGACGTGGGCGCTGGCTGCAACTGCTCTGGGCCAATCTCTGGGTTGTGAAAGTAGTAGTAGCATTTCGAGGTCTGAGAGTCTCAGTGAGTAGGGTGGACCTGGCAGAGGACAAAGGCCCCATCACCCTGCCCACCATGGGCCACTGCCATCACTGAGCCCTGGAGGTGTGGAATGAGGAGTAGCTGAGGAAGAAGCAAGATCCAGGGAGCATCTAGGCCAGGAGCTGATTGCATGCAGTATAGGAGGATGTAGTTGGGATCATGACATACTGGAAAAGCTCAGAGGCACAGGAAAGCTTGGCTCCTGTCCTGGCGCTCAGGCCACCTCCTTAGCCCCTCCCCCTCCAGGATCAGAGGACACACACTGCTGCTGAGGCCTTGTACTCCGGAGAGCTCTCCTGGAATTGGTGGGAGCCTGCTGGCCAAAGAATCATTCTCCAGTGTCTTCAGGGACTTGGTGTGACCTGAGGGAGCTTATGTGCTCCCCGGCTACAGTGATAGGGACAGAGCCTGACACCAGAGAAACGGAGACACTCTGCCTGAGCCGCACAGTGCACCGGAACAGGAGGTGCTTGGGAGTTCAGAGGCAACTCTCTTGGTTGCTGGAGGACGCTGGGCTGGGCTGAGAGAGGCGGATCTCTCCCAGCTGCACAATACAGAGGCCTCTATGTGTTCCGGAAGCCTAAGAACGGGCCACGCAGACTAGATGTGGGATCCTTGAAGTGCCAGGGCTGTAGGAGACAGCCCTGTGCCACCACCACCCTGGGAACCTGACATGTGTTCCTGACTCCCGGATTCCAGACCACATCTAGATTCCAGAGGGCCCAGGCAGGTCACCATCACAGGAACTGGCCATCAAAGGGAAGGAGGAAGATAGAAGGGGAGGGGAGTCAAAGGCTGGGTCTCTGGAGGCCAAAATACCTGTCAAGGGTGGGTGGGTAGGTGTCCGCAAACACCGTCCCTGAGGCCCTGTTAGTACTCACCCACCTGCAGGGAATGGGTAACCACGACCTCACTACTGCCCTGACCCAAAGCACAGAAATGAGGTGTCTGTGGTATGGTGTCACCAGCTGCAGAGTCAGGCAGAGAAGTGTCTGAGTGTTTGACACATCACCTCCAGAACTCCTCAGGAATGTGGACCCCAACGCCTATTCGCACCCATCTTTCTCTTTGCCACACCATTCTCAGCTCTTGAACCTGGCTGATGCCCTCCCACAATGCTGCTCCCAGCCCACAAACACCCTGTCCCTGCAGACCTGTGCAGCCCTTGATAGTCCAGAGAGACTCAAGCCAGATCAAGGTTTATTACGATACTGTGTCATATAGCCACACCTGAAGAGCTGAGGACACGGGGAACCGTGAATGGAGGTGTGGGGAGCCCCTAAGACACCTCTGCCCTGTCAAGGACTGAGGAACGGCATGGGCTCAGGCTGCCAGACCACTGTGGGAGCGAGCAAGCGAAGGATGGGGCCAGGCCCTGCTCCAGGCTGGGCGTCAGAATCCAAAAACAAAACAAACAAAAAAATGGCAGTTGCACCAAACGCCCCTTGGCTTCCAGGTGCTTCCGGGACTGACAGAGAAGGTCTCTGCTCATTCCACTCATGCCAGCATTCACGAGTTACAAACACCCATCAGAGCTGCTTGACACTGGAGAGAGCCAGACTCCCTGCATCCCGCACCCCAACTCTGAACCAATCAGAAAGCAAGCCGCCTTTGAGAAAAGCTGAGAACAGTATTTTCCAGAGTGGGGAGCTGTGAGATTGGACTTCGTAGCTCTTAGCCGCCATCCTGATGCTAATTAAGCAGCTTGGGGAAAAGCGTAGCAAAGCCAGCCAGTAGGAAACCTCAGAGAGATCACGTGACTTTCAGCTTGGTTTTCATGGATTGTCTAGGAGAACTCTGTGATGTAAGTGGGGACCCCTTCCAGAAGCTTCCTAACAGTCCGCTGAACAGAGGCAGAGTGGCAAACACCGGTGATGGGAGATGCAAATGAGGTTTCTTTGCGGTCTGTCGCTACTAGATACGGCCTGCACCTTGCTTTCCCAGTGGGCGCCCGTGTGTGGCAGGCCCACCCATTTGACATCTTCCAAACCTAATGGCCCACTTATTTTCACAGCTGAGATGGAAACAGCAGTGTTTGCCGCCTGAAGGGGACCTCTGGCCTGTTCCCCTTCCGCTGTGTGGACTGCCTCATCGCAGCTCCAGCTGGGATGTGACTGTCCTTCCTCTCCCAGAGAAGTGGTGTTTTAGGGTGAAGGCTCTCCCAGGATGGCAGGAGGCATTAAAGGCACTGGAACTGGGGGTGATGTTTCTTGGGTGCACCAGGGCCATCAGCTCTGCCCATTCGGGGTCAGGGTTGGCACCAGCAATCACCAGGGAGGGGTGTCAAAAAACAGTTAGAGCTGAAGGCCTTTCTTGACCGAGGAGGTGACCCTCAAGGAATCAGCAGTCGGGCCCAGCAGCTTTGGGGCCTCTTAGACACTGGGGGAGACTCTGTTGCAGGCACAGGAACTTTCAGGGGGACCGGCTGGTTCCTGGGATTCTGGGGCTAAGGAGGAAGACCCTTCTGGTCCCCCTTGGCCCTCATTGGCTTCAGGAATCCCTTCAGCCTCCGCTGAACCTGACTCCTCTGGGACGCCCAGCTTCTCTGCCGAGACCCCACATACTGGTGCTTCCTGGGCCTCCTCCTGGCTGACGGGCTCCTCATCCTCCGACCCACCCTTCACTGCCTTTGTTCCCTCCTCACTGCCTGGCATCACCCTGGCTGGAGACCGGAGGTTCTGGGTAGCAGCCAGGATGTCAGCCTGGAGCTGCTGGGAGGAGTCCAGGGCCTCTTCCGGCCGGCTGTCAGGCGCCCTGTCTGGAACCTCACTGAAGGTACTGGGCCCCCCAGCCCTGTCACTCTTGTCCACATACTTCTTTTCAGGGAAGGAGGATGGGTAGTAGGCTGTGGCCTTGTGCTTCTGGCGGGTGATGAGTGCGGCGCAGACGATGAACATGATCAGGAAGGTCAGCGAGCCCACCACCGCAATGAGCATCACGTACTGGCGGAAGAAGTCCATGATCCCGTCCAGGAGGTTGGTGGGGGGCGCAGGGCCCTCCAGCTGGGGTTTCCCTGATGTGGGACTGAAGGCTGGAGTCCGGGGTGGTGGCAGGCTCGGTGAAGAGGCTGAAGAGCCCTCAGCTTCCCCACTGCCCCCCACATCATCCAGGAAGGACACAGAGTAGGCTGCCGCAGGCACAGGCCTTGTAAGTAGTAGCAGAGACAGGAGGAGGCTGGGGACCATGGTGACCCACAGAACCTATGGGGAGAGGTGAGAGAGAAGTCAGGCTGACAGGCTGGAGGGATGGCTCAGAGGTTAAGAGCACTAGCTGCTCTTCCAAAGGTTCTGAGTTCAATTCCCAGCGACCACATGGAGCCTCACAACCATCTATAGTGAGATCTGGTGCCCTCTTCTGGTGTGCAGGTGTACACGCAGGCAGAATGCTGTATAAATGATACATAAATAATCTTTAAGAAGTCGGGCTGTGTCTCCACGGTCTCAGGACTCAGGAGTGGCTCACTAGTTCCTGTGGACAGTGGGAACCCAGAACCTATGTCACTTAGCTGAGCAATACACATATACACACACTCCAGGATACGTGGAATGCGACCTATCCCGTGTTCCTCTTGTGTTCCTGAGATCAGAAACTGCCTTTTATTCATCTCTATGTCCTCACTGTTTTGCACACTGAGCATACCCTAAGTGCGCGATAGATGCTTCTGCACCAGCGTGGCTGAATTCACAATCCTATCTTACACTCGTCGCTTAAATCTGCATCGGATGCTAGTGGAAGTGTCTTTGTGTTACGTGTGGGAGGAGGGATGCACTTGGAGACCAGAGGGTAACGTGGAATAGTTGAATACCATTCCTCCTCTGGGAGCCTCCACTTCCTTTTCAAGGCAGGGCCTCCTACTGGGTCCTGGTGCTTACGTGTCACATGGTGGGGCCAGCAGCCCCAACAATCCTCCTGTTGTTGGCATCACAGGCGTAACCACGCTGGCTTCTCACGTGGGCGCTAGAGACAGTTCAACTCAGCTCTTCCAGCATCCCCACCTGAGCCTGCTCCCAGCCCAATCAGAAGCTTGTCATGGATGCCTGAGGGCTAGCCAGCTACCCACTAAGGGAGAGGCTACGATTGTCCCCGTTTCCAGCTGCAGAAACCAAGGCTCAGGGGAAACTGAGGCTCAGGGGGATCAAGTGACTTCTCCAGAGAGACCTGAAGTCATCTGGCCTGAGGACTCTGGGAGGTGGGATTGGAGGGTGGGGTTGGAGATGAGGGGGCTGAGGGACATCTCTGCACAGGAAGTGGCCCCAGGGCACCGCTACCCTGAGGCCTTGGAAGCTGCAGCAGAGGCCTTCCCAATCCACCCACTTCCACTGCCAGAAGCCTCTAGATTTTGAAGCTGCCAGGTCTGCCAGCTCTATAGGAGTCCTGAGTACCAGGGTGCGGCTGGGGGTACCGTGACTCCCTCCCCCAATCCATGGAGGCCCGGATCTCGCTGTGAGCCTCTGAAAATCCCAAGAGGTTCCAGGGGGGGGAAACCACAGTTCCTGGGGAGACAAAGCTAGCTAACACCATAGCCCCTCCGGATGCCTGCCGCAGCCCCTCCCCACCGCCACCACTAAATGGGAACCAGATGTACCCCTCCCCCTCTGGAAGGCTGCTCCCGGCATGAACCACCCCCAACCCTACCCTCAGACCCCATCTGGCCCAGACAACTGGGCTGATTAATAAATTCCTCATTGCCCAAGTTTACACTAGCTCTGCCAGCCAGTGGGAATAGGATCTGGGGTTCAAACTCTTGTTGGCCCAGCAGAGGGCTCTGGTCCCTGAGGCAGACTGGGGCTAGAAGTCTAAGACAGAAGGCTCTGATGCTGTCTCAGGGGATCTCCCTTGGAAGAGGAGGCAGAGGCAGAGGCAGAGGCAGAGGCAGAGGCAGAGGCAGAGGCCTGTTGCCTGCTCCGGGCCACACAGCAAGTTTCTGAACTGCATCGGGAAGCTAAAGTTCCCAGCGCCTTGGCTGCAGGGCCTGCTGGGTGAGGCAGGTGGCTTTACCTGCCTCTTGTGTGACAGGGGCTCAGGAGGGGAGGGAGGAAGGAGGCTGGTCATTTATCGACTGCCCCAATGGCCAGAAGCTTTCCAGTTAGGTGTGCTGAGCCCTCGGTATCTCAGAAAGCCGGCCCGGGTGCCCTGCCCCCACCCAAAGGAGCTAACATCAAACTATTGGTCCAGTTTGCAGGGAGCTCAGCCTCCTGGCCCCTCCAGTCGGCTCTGGGCAACTCACAACCCCACAAGTGCTGTGTACTGTGGGGATTGCTACACTGTTCTTTCTTTTCATTTATGATTAAATTCTTAGGGCTTAATTTTTTCAATTCTTCCTCTCTTGGTTGGATCTGCAGCAGGGCAACTGCACCGAACGCCAATTTTGTCAAATTGGACCAAACAGCGAAAGACAGACGTTCCTTTCAGAACATCCAAAGAGGCTAAATGGGCCAGCGAGGTGGCTCAACAGGTGAAGGGGCTTGCCGCCAACCCTGAGGCCCTAAGCTTGACCTCCAGAACCCAACAGGGTAAGAGGAGAGAACCAACTCCCACAGGCTGTCATCCGACCTCCACCATAGCCTGCACAGCCCCCTACAAACATATAAATGTAATAAAAATTTTTTTTCTAAGGTGCTTAAATTTCCAAGGGGGCGCGTTTTGTTTATTTTCTCCCCTTTTCTGCCGCACCAGAGCCCCGTGTGCACTAACCAGGCGCTCTCTTGCTGAGCCCCTGGGGCTCATGAACAGTGACGGCCTCCATGAAGGATGCTCCATCCTGGCTCTCTCCCTAGATGCAGTCTCACAGTGGTGACAGTGATGTGTCCCAGGACACACAGATGATCCACGACTGGGCTAGGGTTTGAGTCCTCTATCAGGGGCTGTGGAGGCTCACATGAACTCGCACATGCATGCGTGATGCATGCGTGTCGGTGCACATACAGGCCAGAGGGCAATCTGGGGTTCACCGCCAGGAGGTCTCTGCCTGGGATCTGGGGATCACCAAGTGGGCTAGGCTGGCCCGTTTCCCTGACCTTCTGAGGCTGAGATTTCAGGAACATCACTCCGCCTGGCTTTTTTACCTGGGTTTCCGGGCTTGAACTCTTGTGAGTCCTCATTTTTTCCTTGGCGTTTTACTGACCTACTGCCTCCCCTTTTTTGGGTGGTGCTGGGAATTGAACAGAGAGCCCTGTGCATATTGGGCAAGTGCTCTGCCACTGAGCTACACCCCAGGCCTGGGTCAGCAGAGGCAGGTTTGCAAATCCAGAACCCTGCTGGGCTATGTATTATGATGCTCTCCGTAAGGACAGCTGTGGCAGCTGTGGCAAGTGAGGGCTGTGGCTCCAGAGACACAGGCACCGTGACCACAGTCCTGAGGACTGCAGAGGTCCCCGAGCAGAGCATGCTGACAGAAAGCCACCGGGCCAGCTTGATCAACCTGGCTGCATCGTGTCTAAATCTGCCGGCTGCCTCCTCTCGGCCTCTCGTTCCCCATTTGTCTGCAAACGGGCAGCAGGTAGGGAGACTCCAGGTTGAGGCTCAAGGAGCTGCTGAGACTTTATGAGAGAGCACTGCAGGCACGGGGGGCGATCCTGCAGGAAAGCTGGAATTCAGGAATGGAATGCTCCAGGGTAAGCCAGCATCTTCCCTCAGCAGACCCGTGGCTGTCAATTGCACTGGCCCCCTAACAGCTCAGCCAAGGAGCAGAACACACACACACACACACACACACACACACACACACACACACACACACAC